CATTTTATTGAAATATTCTGCTCGAATCAAAGCAAACATTAGAACTTATTTCCATAGTTGAAAGGTACACGGTCAATGAATAACTGATAACAAAAGTCTATTGAAATATTTTGCTCGATCTAAGACAAGTGTTTGCACTTCATATCTTAGTGAAAGTATACGCAACAAATGACTAGATCAAACAAATGTTTCATTCTATTATTTTACCTAATTCAAAACAAACATTCGTAGCTGGTTTCATCATTTGAGCAGTTCACAACGAATGAATAATTGATAGCAAGATGGCATATTGAAATATTTTGCTGAGTTTGACAGAAATATTAGCAGTTAATTCCATAGGTGAGGAACACACGACAAAGGAATAATTGATACGAAGAGTATATTGCAATACTTTGCTCAATTCAAAGTAGATATTAGCAGTTGATTCCATAGTTGAGTGATACACGACGAATGAATGATTGATAGGAAGAGTATATTGAAATATTTTGCTGAGCTTGATAGAAATATTAGCAGTTAATTCCATGGGTGAGGAACACTCTATGGTTGAATAATTGAAACAAAGAATGTATTCAAATGAATTTCTCCCTTCGAAAGAGAAAACGGAACTCGGTTGTAAAATCATAGATAAATCGACAAAGGAATAGTGCAAACAATAGCTGTATTCACATATTTTTCTCACACAGGAATAAAGACCGACTGCTAATAGTATACACGAGTAATATGTAGCCAATGATGATCCTAATTAGGGTTCTATTCAAATGTTTTTGCTATTCGAAAGAAAGGATTCAATCTGATAAATTAAGTAGAGAGCAAACGCCTAATGAATAATGGTAAATAGGATCTCATTTCAATATTTGACTTGCTAATCGACAAGAATTCGAGCTAATATCCTAAATGAAGAACAAACGTCAAGTGAATAATAGTAATCACGATCTCGTTTCAATATTTGACTTGCTAATCAATAAGAATTCGAGCTAACATTTTAAATGAAGAACAAACGCCCAATGAATAATGGTAAACAGGATCTCTATCAAGTATTTGATTCGCTAATGAGCAGGAATTCGAGCTAACATCTTAAATGAAGAACAAACGCCCAATGAATAATGGTAATCAGGATCTCGTTTTAATATTTGACTTGCTAATCGACAAGAATTCGAACTAATATCTTAAATGAAGAACAAACGCCCAATGAATAATGGTAAGTAGGATCTCATTTCAATATTTGACTTGTTAATCGACAAGAATTCGAGCTAACATCTTAAATGAAGAACAAACGTCAAATGTATAATGGTAAGTAGGATCTCGTTTCAATATTTGACTCGGTAATTGACAAGAATTCGAGCTAACATTTCAAATGAAGAACAAACGCCCAATGAATAATGGTAAGAAGGATCTGTATCAAGTATTTTGTTCGCTAAGAAAGAAAATGAGACTTGATAACGTGATTAAAAATGATGTATTGAATGAATCATTGTAAAAAGAATTTCCTTCGAGTATTTTGCTTTCTTCCAAAGAAAAGACGCACATAGCCACATCAAACATGAATATTCAGCAGATGAATAATTCAGACAAATCCCATAGTCGAATATTTTCCTCAATTCAAAGTAAATATTTAGAATTGACAAATATAATCGACGAAAGCATGCCTTATGAAACATTTTCAGGTTGATGGCTCTATCCAAATATTTTACTCAGTTTCAGGCAAAATCTTGCAACGCATTACATACTCCTGAAACACACGATAAATCGACAATTCGTACCAACATTCTCTCCATACATTATATTCATTTTAAGCAAAGATTTGTAGTTGATTTGATGGTTGAGGGACACAGGACGAGTGAATATTTCACAGCAAAACCCTATTCAGACATTTTAATCAATTCAGAAAACAGATTTTTCAGTCGAACCTCTCACTTACGAACACATTACCGATGAATTATTCTTACCAAGACTCTATTCAAATATTTTGCTTAATTAGAAGCAAATCTTTGCGAACCATTAAATAATCCTCGAATACACACCAAATGAACAATTCATACTATGATACTATTCAAACATTGTTATCATCTTCCACAAAGCAAGATCCAATTCAATACATGATTCACAAACATATAGCATATGAATAACTCAGACAAAGATTCCTTTTGAATATTTTTAGCACTTCAAAGCCAGCCTCTCCAAACACTTATATACATTAAGAACATATCGTGAACGAATAGTTTTCACCAAGGTAATTGTCAAATATTTTGCTCACTAGAAAACCCATTACGATTAGTTGTGTGACCCGCTTGAGTCACATCACAAATGCATAATTTGAAGTAGTAGTGGCAGTACTACTCAGGTTAAATACTTCTCTCACTAGTGAACCTAACGAGATTGCTTCCACGATCCGCTTGAGTCGTATTACAAATGAATAACTTGAAGTAGTAGTAGTTGTAGTAAAGTACTTAGCAAATATTTTATTCTCTAAACACAATTTTCATTACCATCTATGTAGATCCTACCAACATGGCAATCGGATAGTTTTAAGTAAGCTATGTATCATATAGCTGGCTCTCTCTGAAACCAATCTTGATAGTTTCTAGTAAGATCGCGAATGAGATCTAACATGAACAGTTTCAACCATGCCCATGATCAAATACTTCCGTCACTGTAAAACAAAATTCACGGAGTACACATATAGACACTGATGAGATTGTAAGTCAATAACTAATACCATGATTGTTTTCAAGTATATGTATCAAATTGATGGAAAGACTTGAAGTGAATTACTTGATAGATGAGCATGTAAGAAATGAATACATGTAAGCCTCAATACATTTCAATTCAAATACGCTATTTTATCGGAGAAAACAATTTTAAACTCTTCTTAGGCTCACTGCATACGCAACAAATGGATAATTGAAACAACTATGGCGATTATGGAATATCTTTCGCACTGTGAAGATTGTTCTGACAGATAGAATTGTGTAGTCCGACCACATGAAAAATGAATACTGTTAAACAGCATGATAATTGCTAAATATTTTACACATTCTGAAGCCAAGTCTCGCAGATACTGTTATACATCGCGACTACGATGAACAAGAATGCTCCACAGCATGGTAATCGACAACTACACCCATCACAGTAGAATGAGATCCAAGAGGTACTAAGATAGATGTTGATCACATTGGAAACGAATATCTGTGAGTACGATAATTGGCAAATACTTTGCTTACTCCGAAGGAAATTCTCTCCAATTCTGTTGAAAGCCGCGACTACGACGAGCAAGAATGATTTTCAAGATGTTAATCGACAACTACTTTTATCACAGTAAAATGAGGTTCGAAAAGTACTAAGATGGACGTTGATCACATTGGAAACAAACATCTGTGAGCACAGTAATTGGCAAATATTTTGCTTGCTCTGACATCAACTTCTTCCGGTACTGTTATAGACTGCGACTACAACGGACATGAATGCTTCTTACCATAGTAATCGACAACTACTTTTATTACAGCAAAGTAAGGTTCGAAAGATACTAAGATGACCGTTGATCACATCGGAAACGAATGCCTATGATTACAATAATTGACAAATACTTTACTTATTCTAAATTTAATTTTCTTTAGCACTATTGTAGACCAAGACTGCGACACACATGAATGTTTCTCAAGAGCACTAAGATACTTTTCAAATATTTTTACTGGCTTCTACAGAAGGAAATCCAGTTCAATACATGATTCACGAACATATAGGATATGGATAATCCTAACAAAATTTACTTTCGAGTATTTTAAGTAATTTATGGCCAACCTCTCGAGATACTTATATACATTAAGAATATATCACAAACGAATAGTTTTTATTACCATAGTGATTGTCAAATACTCTTGTCACTATAAAGCAAACTGCACGAGATACGGATACGAACGTCGATGATGTTGTAATTCAATAGTTTACAAGAATAGGCTTCGATTCAAAAATATTGTCCTATCGAAGAAAACAATTTTAAATTCTTCTTAGGTTCATTGTATATGCAACAAATGGATAATTGAAACAAAACAGGGTTTCCTATATTTAAAACACTTTAAAGGTAAATTCCGGAAGTACTATTATAGTTGAAAATTACATTCCAAACGAATAGTTTTAACTAATACAATAATTTTCGAATACTCTCCACATTTCGAACGTAATATCACGAAGTAGTGTTATACATAACGATGCCATGGAAATGAAACAGTGCTTAAGAAGATAGTTGCCAAATACTGTGCTCACTCTGAAGTCAAGTCCCGTAGGTATTGTTATACATTGCGACTACGGCAGACATGAAGGCTTTTCAGCATGACAATCGACACCTACTTTCATCACAGTAAAATGAGGTCTGAAAGGTATTAAGATGGGTGATGATCACATTAAAAACGAATGTCTATGATTACAATAATTGGCAAATACTTTACTTGCTCTGATACCAACTTCTTCAGGTACTGTTATAGACTGTGACTACGACGAACATGAATAGTTCTCAACAGCAGTATGGTAATCGATAACTACTTCCATCACAGTAAAATGAGATCCGAAAGGTACTAAGATAGATGTTGATCACATGGGAAACGGATATCTGTGATTAAGATAATTGACAAATACTTTACTTACTCTGAACCCAAGTCCCGCAGATACTGACATAGATTCCGATCACATCGGAAATGAACATCTGTGAAGATGGTAATTGCCAAAAACTTTGCTTGCTCTGACACCAATTTCTTCTTGTTGTGTTGTAGACCGCGACTATGACGAGCATGAATGCTTGTCAGCATGGTAATTGACAACTACTTCTATTACAATAAAACGAAGTTCAAAAAGTACTAAGGTGGACGTTGATCACATTGAAAAGGAATATCCCTGAGGAGTAAGGTACTTTACAAATATCGTTTTTACTCTGAAATCAATCTCATGAGGTAGCCATTTGGACGAGGATAGCATTGTAAATGAATACTCTGAACAATCTGAAAGTGCAGGATTCCATTTGAATACTGTGATGTTAATTTTATACCATTTAGATATTGTACTAAGCGATAGAATCTCGTTGAAAATGAAAAAACTGTACGTTCATTAGCCAAATGTTGAACATCACCAGTGAGTTTCACACGTTGATTGACTCCCATTATCATTTTCTTTTGGTCTACCTGTGTCATGCAGCTCGTTGCCATTAAAACCAACAGGACTGCCAAAACATTTTGCTTGGTGTTGCTCATCATAGTTTGTTATTGCTTCAACGTTTGAGGATTGAGTCTGCGATTAGTTTGAGGAAGTGTAAAAGTGGTGCGATTCTGCAGTCGTGCTGTTACTTTATATAGCCGTTGGTGGCTGAGCAAGAAGGAACCTTCGAGAAAAAATGTCATCATCTTTTTGCATTTTGATTTATTACTGCATCGCATGATCTTATTGATTTTTGATTTATTATTGCATCTTGTGATTTTGTTTTCTTACTGTAGGTTACAATCTTACTGGATTTTGATTTATTACTGCATCGCATGATCTTATTGATTTTTGATTTATTATTGCATCTTGTGATCTTTTTGCATTTTGTTTTAATACTGTAGGCTATAATCTTAGTGGACTTTGATTTATTACCACATCGCATGATTGTGCCAAGCCAGAAAATGGTTTGCGCTCTTTTTTCTATTTGTACTTTGACATTTGTCTTACTTTCGGTATTTTATTTTAGTAGTTTATACTTTGATCGAATACTCTTAATTAGTAATGGTATTAAGTGGCATTTTTCTGTAATGGATTACTGAATGTTTCGTGTACTATATGAGGCACGAGGAATATTCAATAAGCAGGGGATTTCTTTCAAAGCATAAAAATACAAGTAACGCTCGTCTAGAAACTCACTCAGCTCTTTCTCGCAGAAATCGAGTTCTACAATGCTATTTAGGTCTTTGTTAACTCAATATGTAGAAACTGACATCATATTCGAATTCCTTGGCCACGATTACCTTTCGAACAACCCATATAAAAAAAATTGTTTTGTAGAAAAAAAGTGATCCTTTATGTAAAAAAAATTGATCAAAAAAAAATTTCAGAAAATTAACATCAGATTCAAGTTCCTCGACTCCAATTACCCTTCGGTCAATCCTTATAAAAAAAAGTAATTTTATCTCTTCACCGAATTCTTCGACGAATAAGTAAGGTATAGACACACAGGCAATCAATTAAATAACTTGTGTTCACTGGGCTCTTCCCTACGAGAAAGAAAATATATATATGCTGAACCTGAAATCATCACAATGATTCTGTTTTATTTTATTTTAGATGATCTAAAATAATATATTTATCCAATAATACGTACTTGATTTAAGGCTCCCTCTCCATTCAAAAATTAATCTCGGCCTGAATCAAAAATTGTATATTTTGTTAGAAAGAGCATGCCTAAATGCAGGGCACGACAGTCCTTTTTTTCTCAAAATCGTACTTGCTTAATAGAGAGAAGATATCACAGATTCAATGACTCAAAAAACGTATTGATGATGAGTGTCTTTGTATATAAATGTCTGCATATTCAATAGGATATAAGGCTCACCTAAAAAAAGGAATAATTCTATGGTGCTGTGCATCTTAATAGACTCTTTCTAACAAAAAAAAAGTATTAATATATTGAGCAGAATCGAATTCAGAAATCTTAAAAAAAGACAAAAAAAAGTGTAGATTAAGAAAAAATGCAAAAAGATTTTTCAGATTTTTTTTTTTAAATAAGTATATTTTTCAAGAAGATATTAACGAAAATCATTGAAAATGTGAACCAAAACTTGGTTGTCAAATGAAAATCGTATCCGTATTTAAAAGATGTGAATCCACACACAAATATGAGATATTCTATAGTATTATTATTAACTGCATATATATATTAAAAAGAAATTGTACATATAATTATAAATAATGAATAAATATATTCTATTCATCTTTAATTTTTATTTCTTTTTAAGTTCACTTAAAATACAAGTAAAGAAAGAGATTTTAATAATTTAAATACAATCAATATTTCATTATTGCGACATTAAATGAAATATTTGTATAGATTTTTTTTCTTCCGAATACATATTTTATTCTATACAATACAAAAAGACATTAATCTTTTTTTTTCTTTTGTTTGCTTCTTTTCACATTATATCAGTTTGAATGATTTGTTATTTTTTTTATTATATTCGTACTTTTATCTTTTGTTTGATATTGTGTTTGCTTCTTTTCACATTATATCAGTTTGAATGATTTGTTATTTTTTTTATTATATTCGTACTTTCATCTTTTGTTGTCAATAATTGAATATCCAGTACTTTTTTGTATTTTTAGTTTCAATATATCAAAGTTCAAGTATATTTTTTATATTAGAAATTGTATTAAATCATATAAGAAAAGTATATATTTTAGAATTAGTGAATATTCTATAATTACCAATATTTCTTTTAAATTTTATATCATTTGAAATCTAAGATATTTTTTATTTTATGAATATTTATATATATATAATATTTTTATTAAACTAATACATTGTTTATACGAAATTTTAACATTGTACGAGTTATTCGTGATAAATTAAAAATGTATGATTGCACTATATCGTTGTGAAATAATTATGCAATATGAATATCTTTTGAACACCTTTCATAAAATTTTCAAAGTTTAAAATAAAAACAAAGATGCATTGATGTGTTCACTATACTTTTCAACTTTAATGTTATCAACCGGGATCTATATTTAGACTCTGTTGTTAGAAAACAATAAAATGAATGATAAAGAGTTGTTTCATATGAAAGAAAAATAGGTTTAGCAGTGACTTGTTAAAAAATAAAACAGTGACTGTTTTCATAAATTGAATAAAATAGAAATATATCTATCTAAAGTTTATTTCTTTATACAAAAAATTTAATGTCAGTAACGAGACCTAGTGCATCTTATAAATAATATTTTTTTTCATTGATACATGTATTATAATGACTTTCTTTCCAAATTCATTTTTTTAACAATTGCACGTATCACAAAGATGATTTTAATATTAATGACACATACAATGATGACTTTTCTGATTTAACACGTATTTTTGAAAACTTTTTGTCGATTGTGTTGAAATCAAGAGTTTAAAATACTCAGAATTTATCAAAAATAGATATTAATACATTTCTAAAGAACAGTAATGATTACTTGTTTAATTATTTGTCTGATTTCAGATGTATAACATATATTAGAAGAGATTATTGTGTAAATTATCTCTTTATTTTTTTCTTAACTCTCTTCAAATGCAAAAGAAACAAAGTTTACTTTGAGCAAACTAAATTTTATATTTACTGTTAGAAAACGACATATGATATAGATTTGATTTCGATATTTTCATGTCATATTTCAATCGCTTATGTGTAACTCTACATTCTCAAAATCATCACGATCCATATAATCATCAACTAGATGTGAATATTGAATAAATACTCAGTGACAAAATTCAAATAAGTCTCTAGCCACTGTATTTCGTATCACTTCAAATGCTGTAATAAGATTTTCTTTATATGAAAACTGGAATTGTTTAACATATACTTCTGTCATAAGTTAGCTAATTATGCGCGATATCAAAATAGAAAATCAAGAAAAATAAATTCAGATTTCAAATCAAAACAAAAGCAAGATCTTTATGTATAGAATAAACCAGATTGAAAACCATATTCAATAAGTTTGTCTTTTATCATTCTATATTGATTTAATTAATTTCCATTGTTCTTTTAATTGTTGAAGAAAATGTGAAAAATGATATTTAGATGTCAAACCATTCTATTATAAATCGCATATATCTATTGAAAATTCTGGTATCGCCCATTGTTTTATATTATCAATTAAATCAATATAACCGTGATATTTAAGTAATTCAATGATATATTGATATAAAATATCTTGTTGAGTTGAATGACTATGGATAAGAAATTGTTTATATGTATGAAGTCAATCATGATTATTTGATAGTTGAATTAAATAACGATAATTAAGTAAAAACTGACCAAGTTTCTTTTGATGTATTAGACTAAATATGATAAAAAAAAACAAATGCTTGTATTTGTATGCTGTATTTTGATTTTACTTCATCTTGATTATCAAAAAGTGTAATCAGTAATGTCATAGGTTCTAGTTTGATAGTTCGTACATTTCTACAGGTGAGTCTGGTAAACATTTTTTTAATGAAAAAATTATTAAAAAAACACCTTAGCACACCCAATATTGAGGCAAGTTGTTGTTATTCAAGAATTGTTCTCATGATATGTCCAGTAAAACGATCACAAAGAATAAGTTTTAATTTACTCCAAATCTTTTCTCCAAACACATCCATAATTACATTTATAATATGATGATTAAATTCAAAAGTAAAGAAATCTGTTTTTTATACCATTTCAAGTTGTAACAGGCATATGAATAAGCTCTAAAACATCAGGTTTATGTATATATACATCAGATGAGAGCAAACCAAAGAATCTTCAATTAAAAAATGTTAGACTTACCGAAAATAACGTAAAATTCGAATAGGATTTTCTTATAGTCGTTGAAGAATATTTCCATTAAAACGAATACGATTTAATTTAAGATTAACAATTCTATGTTTATCTATCGATAAACCAATCTGCATTTAACATAGTTGATTAAATTAATATTTTATATGATATATTAATTTAAAAATGACAAAATAGTTTTTTACACTTGAACAATTTAAGAGAATTAATTTGCTTTACAACTCAAAGATAGAATTGGCAAATTGATCCTGGTTTATTCTCAGAAGAAGATGCTTTTATCCTATTCAGTCGAAGGGATGAACGTTACTTGTCTGTATATGAAAGTAAAGTGATCATCAGATTCGAGTTTTTGCACAAAACTAGTTGCAGAATTGGATTTCACATCGAATGGCAGTTCTTGTTTTTCGATAAAAAATTCTAGTAACTCAGGAACAAATAAAGAAACTGCTAGAACAGCTTATGAATCGAGTAGTTTGTGAGAAAACTTGAATCTGCCGATACCATTATGATCATGAACTCACTTTGCATACATTTGTGCGAGAAATAAACTCGTTTGGTTCCTCAATATTTAGTCACATTCGAAAATGTAAGATTGGAATTTTGTCAGAAAAAACGATATTTTT